TGAGAGGGGACATGAAAACTAAGCACGGAGGAGGAAATACTGCACCTCAGTTAATAATGGATGTCACCTGCCTGTAAAAGCTGCTGTGAATGAAAGATGTATCAATACCTTCCCAACATTCATTTGGAGCTGTACACACTTCTTATATTAAAGGAGAACTATGAGGCGAATGATTTTCACTCAGCCTCATAATTCGAGCCGACGTGTGACAATGAAACTGTCACAGGTCGGCTAAATAGATCGGGAAGTGAGTGAACGCATACTGTCGCTCGCTCACTTCTCGATCTATCCCTGCAGAGAGACGTGACTGTCACTGATTCCCCCCCTCCCTGACTGGCGGAACGCGCTGACTGGCGGAACGGATGGGGGAGGGGGCAGGTACAGCTGGCTCTTCCTCTAGATAGGCAGAGCTGGCTCTGCCTCAATCACGCAGCTGGGTGGATCTCGACAGTAAAGTCGGGATCCGTCCCGGCTGCGTCCTCCCGTCACCCTAAGCTCAGTATACCGCGAGCTACTGCTCGCGGTATACTGAGACGCTGGCTTTTCCCCATAGTTCTCCTAAGGGTAACGGGAGGACACAAACTAGCGTCCTCCCGTCACCCTAAGCTCAGTATACCGCGAGCTACTGCTCGCGGTATACTGAGCTTAGGGTGACGGGAGGACGCTAGTTTGTGTCCTCCCGTTACCCTTAGGAGAACTATGGGGAAAAGCCCTAACCCCATAGTTCTCCTTTTAAAGAGGAACTTTACCCTTCTCTTTGAAATGACAACAAAGTCACCTTTTTAGAAATGTTTAGTAATGACAATCTACAAACAGATACTTCTAAATAATTGCCAGCTTTGTATTCTTTGCATACCTTATTTCTCTTTTCTTCCCTAGTCTTCTCACTTTACTTCCTGGGACTCTGGCACATGTGACTAGGACATGTGACCATGCACATCATCTCAGGGAAGGAAAATGCCTTTCTCCGAGATCTTGTGAGATTACAGATGAGATTTCCCAGCAATGCTCTGCTGATGGAACCTTCCCAGGATGCAATGCATGAGCACATTACATCACTAATGCCCAAGAGGACCAGGAAGTGGAAAAACAATAATTGTAAGTAAAAGAAAAATATGTTTGAATTATTGTAAGATGATTTCTTACACGCTGAGGTGGTTTTTTTTTTTTTTGTTTTTTTTAGTGAAATGGGGTAAATATCCACTTTATAGCTGACCTACACCTGGAGACCAGTTCATAATGAATGATACAGGGCTCACAGTAGCCATTCTTTTTCAGACCGACATTGTCCTCTATTGCTCTAGTCAGTGTGGCTGAGAGGCGGATGCCATGTTAGTGGAAGTTCCAGCTATCATCAGGCAGCATTTCTTCTTCCTAGAATCACCTTCTGATGACCCAATCGGTGTATTTTAATAATTAGGAGTATATAAAAAATAGGCGTATTCACACTGAAGCACGTGAAGGTGATTAAAGTGTTGCATAGCCAGTAAAAGACAAAATTCTTAATCTCGGCGCAAGTGGAGCCTCTGCGATCCTCCAACAATATCAGATTGGCATACCATTAGGGGCTGCTCCTCACTGGGATCGGGGATACCCGTCACACATGAAAACAAAACACAGAGCGTCACCTCTAATTGTGATACCATTCAATGTAGAGTCAAACGAATCAATGTACTCACAAAAGTTTGATGCACATCGCTTTGAACATTCCTGTAGGACTGCAAAAGCTCAACTGAAACCGGGCATGAGATCATTCACTTCCTGGCATAACGGCAAGCAGCAGTCGCCGATCACTCCTGTCACAAAGCCGACCGCAGCCCGAGCTTACAGTGGTCGGCTTTGTTGGGGCACTGTTGGGG